TTTTCGCTCATTAACCACAAATTCTGGAGCATACTTAAAAATGTTAGTGAATTTCCCTTCATACTTAGCCACACTAAGAGTTCCCTGTCTCAACTTTATAAATTCGTCCTCCCGCTTCTCTTGGATCAGAGGCTGAAGAAATTTCTCATTAAACTCCCTCGTGAAGTTTTCCCAAGTCCAAGGGGTCTGCTGTGAGGACTCGCAAAAATTTACTTATTTAAATTTCCTATTTCTAGCTTATTTAATTATTTATTTGGCCATTTACTCAGAATATTTTATTTTGACCTTTTATTACTCAATTACATAGAATAATAACTCACATGTATTTTTAAAGTGACTCATTTCAAAATTTAATTTTTGAAAACTCGTTAAGTGAGAATAGCGAATACACGTTTGGAGACAATAATCGAATCGATGACACAATAAGTTTGGAAAATTGGAGACTTGTACATTAGTCTTGAAATAGGTATTTTTATGTCTAAGTACTCAAGTATTAGTTAGTGATGCTATCGTTATAAGAATTTCTTGAAAATTCCGTTTTATCGCGCACAAATCGGAAGTATGTTTTCGCGCGCACGATTAATTGAGAGACTTAAGACCTTTATTTTGGAACTATTAGAATGAATAATAATAGTATGAATGAAAGTTTATTAGAGGTTTAGTGCACAAGTGAAATAAACTCGAGAGGAATCGAGCACGAAATGCTCGTGTGCGCGCGGGAGAGAGTTGACTTTTGAGGCAACCTTAACCACACACTTAAGCTTCCTCAAGAAGCTTTCTCATCTGCACACAACACTCTCTCTCTTGCTCTTTCTGGTCAAACAACAAGGAGGAGAAATCTACCAAAATTCTTCTTCATTCCATCACCAAATCACCTCAAAATTTACATACACCTTGCTAATCACTTGGAGATCACCTCAAGCTAGGAAAAGAGCTTCATCTCATGGTTTTTAGCTTCAAGAGGCCAAAATTTTCTGATTTGTTCATCAAGGAAGGTAAACAACGATCAACTACCAAAATCTTGGTTTATAGAAGATATATTGCACTTATAAGCTTATATAATCATGTGGGTAGCTTTATTTATGTTGGAAATTGGTGTGTGGGCTCTATGAACTACCACTATGGATTGATGGACTGATTTGATGAGTCTTGATATTATTAATGTTGAATTAGTATTTAATCTAGTGGAAACAGGTTGTATTGTGAAAGAAAGTTCAAGGGAAGTGAAGAGGGAATTTTTCCGTTTCTGCCCTTGCTATGTCCGTGCACATTGGTGCACCTTTTTGTGGTCCAATTGACTTATTTATGATGTATATATGTTGTGTGGGCTGTGTGGAAGGTTTCCACAAAAAATTACGTGATTTGGTTGGCCAAATGTTGTGATTTCGGAAGTTCATCAAAACTGAATTTTTCCCGTATTGCTCTGCAGTGTTTTTCAAACAGCTATAACTTTTTGCTCCGATGTTTAAATCAAGTATTGTTTGTGGAAATGGAAATTAGACATTCCCAGCTTTCCAACGGTATAAAATGCTCATCCTGATTCCACCTGAGTAATCTGTACCAACATTGTAAAGTTGCCTATTCTGTTGCGCGTCCATGCTGGAAGCTCTGTTTTGAGCAGCGAATTGATGCTCAAATATGAGCTAGTTGTAGACAGATTTTTAAAATGATTTCTTCTGAGAAGTTGTAGCTCTATGAGTGTAGTTTTCAACGCCATCAACCACGCTCAATTCTTAGTTGAAATGAGTGAGTTTGGCTGGATCTCAAAACTGACTTTGTGAAAGAAACTCTACTTTTGGACTGATTTGTAACCAATCTTGACTTGGGACTTGTTATTCGAAATTCTTGGTGTAAATCATCTACCAAATATATCTTGGATGTTTTTTAGACATTTTCTACACAAATGAACCATCTTTGGGATGTTTTCATTGGCCAAAGGTTTGAGAAAAGAAACTAGAGGTGCAAGGCAGCTTTGCCTTGGACATTTGGAAATTTTGATGGTTTTGTTAACCAACTTTCCGAATGAATTCGCCAATGAAATTTAACAGAGGGATATCCCTTATATGGTAGGATAATATTGCCAAATTTGGTGCCATTCTGAGTCCATTTCGATGCTCAAACAAAGTCCCAAAGTCCGCGATTTAAATCTGGAAAATTGACCTAGCAGTCTCACTTTTTTGGTAATTTGAGCCGCCATATCTTGGTGCTCAAAACTCCAATTCTTGTTCCACTTGTTGTGTTTTAAACCTTGATTGTAACTCTAATCGAGTTCCAAATTTCAGAGGCTAGTTCAAATTGTGTGAATTTTACCGAATTTTTAAAGTTGGCCAAAAAACCAACCCCAAAACTGTCTCGCAAGCCTAAAACAGTAATTTTGGGCCAAATTTTGAATGTCTTCCATTTGGAATCATGGAAAAGTGTCTTTTAGGAACTTTTAGTACTTTGGAAGTAGTTTCCAACGGTACTAAGTTTTCCAATTTTGAACATACGAAGGTGAGATACGATTTTTCAAAAATTGAACCTCAAATTTGAGATTTTCAAACTTGACGGAATGAGTTTTGAAACACTTCCCTATCCTTCAATACTAATTGACCATTTTGGACTTGTCTTCATGAAGGAATCAGTTTTTCCTTGTGTTAATAAACACTACTTTTGAACCTTGAATTTTGAGAAAGTAAAGCCCCATTCCGTGGTATTTTCTAGATTGTACAAGTGTACAATCCCTCTCTTGATAAGAAAGGATTTTCAAGAGATAATGTGTAATAGATAACTATTGTTTGCTCAGGTGCTCAAGGAGGCCTTCACGAGAATCTCGAAGGGAACACCTAAAGGTTTGTTTACGCACTCACTCTCTTATTTTGATTGGTGAGTGTCAAGTGCATGAATTTGTTGCTAAGTGGTTAACTGTTTCTTATCCGTTATGTGACATTTGAAATTTTTGAGACGAGTGTGTACTTTACCGCACTCGTTCTCTTTCGAGCGAAATCATATTCGTATTTTGCTATGTGAATTCATATCCGGTTTGTACATATTAATGTGGATATGATTTGTATTTGTGGTTCGTATATATGATTTGTATTTGGAATCGTTGATTCGAACGTTGCTTATCGACTTATATTCATATTGGTATTCGTATTCGTATTCGTATTCGGGGGATGCCCAAACTTGTTAGTTAACTTTACGAATTGAGCCAGCATAGGCTTGGTCGATAAGCTCAGCAAACCATGAGATATTCGTAGAGCATGATCTATTGGAGAGATCTTACTCGGCATTACTCGCACAGTATTGTCATGATATACTCGAGTATTATCAAAACTTTGATGAGCGGGCCCGGCAAGGGATGTAACGGTGACAGGATTCGAAGAAAAGTGGTGTATCTACGGACTTGCTACTTATGTGGTTGACGGAGTGTCAACATGAGATGTGATCAAGATTTGGACACGACTACGTGGAATTTAGCTCTTGAGAGTTACAGTATCTTTGAATTGTTTCTGTTTATTTTTCCTATTCGAAGTGTGAATTATTTGAACTTGATAGCTTTACTTACAATGTAATTGTTGTTGCTATTTGGATTATGTGTTTGCATGTGTGTTTCTTGGCCTCACTGAGTATTGGCTCATACCATTGGTTTGTTTTCTTTAACAGAAACCCGATTGGAAGGAGTTAAGCAAATGCCGACTTGAGGCACTTTTGTATTAGTGTTTTAATTGTAATCGACTAGACACTTTTGGATGTTGTATATTTTGGAAAAAAGTGATTATAAATTTGAAATTGTGATGTAAGACTGGATATTTATGTATGGAAATGAATTCGTACCTTTATTCCGACTTTCATTGTTAGTATTAGACTAGGTTTGAATTGGAATTGTCTCGAGTCCTGGCGAGAGTTGGGCAGGTGTCCCGCAGATACCCTTGGGTTCGCCCTTGGGAGAAGTGGGGGCATCACAGTTGGTATCAGAGCTTAGGTTTCAGATCTTTGTTATGTATCTAGGCTTGAAGTTTAGGATGTCGGACTGTGGGACTGGTTTGAAAGTTAAGTGACCACTTGTTGGGATAAAAAAAAAATCAGAGCCGTTTCGCGTGATATCTACGCGAGGTGGGCTTGGGCCAAATGGTGTTATGGTCCTTATCATATGAATGAATAAAGGCTTAAGCACTCTTTTAGAGCGTAAGCTGTGAATCATGAATGTGATAGGTATAAACCTTTTATTGTAATACTTGGGGAGACTAGATATGTAGGGTAGGAATCTCAAATATGGCAATTTACTCTTGGGACTGGCCAGCTCGAGATGTGAATTATCTTATTTCGGATTCTTCTACCGAATGCTTAAGAGTTGAGGGTAATGTTAAGGACTGGAGATCTCCATTTGTGGGGAAAAGAACGAATCGATATTTCACGTGAATAGTTACAGGAAACCAATAGTCGTTTGGTTAAGATGACACAATAATTAAGAGAGAGAGGTAGAGAAAGATTGATGGATGGTCCTATGTAACTTAATAGGATCCTAATGCTTGATATGAGTCAGAAATGAACGAGAAGATCAGACCTACCAGTGTTATAAAGGATTGATTTAGTTGGGGGTGATGCTAGTGCCAAAGCCATGGCATTTTTGTTTAACTATGTGGCTTACTTTTGAGGCGCTTGACTTTACTTTAGTCGTGCATGACTAAAAAAATCCTTTTGTGGCAATTGTGTGCTATATTTTTATAATACCCCCCGACTTGCTAATTGTATGAACTTTAAAGTGTAAATACATGTTAATTATTGTTATCTCTAATGTTTTCAAGATCGGCTCTTGTTTTAAGAAATTCCTCACGTAATCACTTTTATTTCTTGCATTAGGCACCACTAGAACTATGGACGGACGAAGGAGTGGACGAGGTCGTGGGCGAGGGTCTAGGCAAGCCCAACCTCAAGGGGATGATCAGGGATCGGCAACTGGGCCGACTTAGGGACAAGAAAATTTAGAGGGTAATCAAGTGGCTACTGCCATTAATAGGATGACTGATATCCTTAAGCAGTTAGCTGAGAGACAGGGACCAGGACCACTTAACCAGCCCGGGGGCCAGGATAGAGGAGAAGATAGGGTTTTGGAGAGGTTCTTGAAGTTTAACCCACCTAAGTTCACTGGAGAGCCCGACCCCGAGGCAGCTGAGAACTGGTTAGAGAAAATGACTAATATATTCGCTACTTTAGACTATACTGAAGATAGGCGAGTAAATTTTGCTGTTTTTCAATTTGAGGAAGTGGCACGTGCCTTGTGGGACTTGATAAGGGGGAAGTGGGAAAGAGCGCAGACCCCTTGGACTTGGGAAAACTTCACAAGGAAATTTAATGTGAAATTTCTCCCACCCTTGGTCCAAGAGAAAAGGGAAGATGAATTCATAAAGTTGAGGCAAGGAACTTCTAGTGTAGCCGAATATGATGGAAAATTTACTAAACTTTCTAAATATGCCCCAGAATTGGTGACTAATGAACGAAAGAGGATAAGACGCTTTGTACAAAGACTTAATGTGGAGATTCAGGAGGGATTAGCAACAGCCCAAATCTCTACGTTCACTGAAGTCTTAGAAAAAGCACAGAGAGTCGAGAGTGCAATGCTGCAAGTTAGAGACTTTCATGCTAAGAAAAGGGGCACTCCTAGTAACCTTTCTAAACAGGCAGATAAGGGTGCCCCACCTTTTAAAAAGGGAAAAGGAACGGGTGGAGTGGAGATATCTATCACACCAAAAGGGACTCAATCAAGAGGAGACCGCAATGGGCGAGATCAATCGAGAGGGACACCTCCAAGTGGTCAATCTGTGGCTCCCCAAGTTGTTTGTGGTTATTGTAGCAAGTTCAACCATACAGAGAGTGATTATTTTAGGAAACAAGGGAAGTGCTTGTATTGTGGTAGTACCGAGCACCAGATATCCAAATGCCCAACCGTACCAAAAGAAGGAAGTAGTACCCAAAAGCCTGAAAAGTCAACTGCTAAGCAGTCTAGGCTAGAGGAAGTCGATCTAAAGCACCAGTTAGGGTTTATGTATTAGACTATCACCAGGTTTCCAATTCTGCTACGGTCATTGAAAGTATGATTCTTGCTTTTCATTGTGACCCTAGTATAATTCACATTTTACAAAATCCTAGACTCATAAGATAGAATCAAAGTTTGACTACAATTTAGGTGGATAGAAATTGTGAGATATAGGTTAGCGATTGTAATTTACAGATTGATCCGATAGGCACGATTATTAAGGGGTATTATATTATCCTAAGGTGAATTTCGAGGATGAAATTTTCTTAAGGGGAGAGGATGTGAGGACTTGCAAAATTTTACTTATTTAAATTTCCTATTTATAGCATTATTTATTTGACCATTTACTCAGAATATTTTATTTTGACCTTTTATTACTCAATTGCATAGAATAATAACTCACATGTATTTTTAAAATTACTCATTTCAAATTTTAATTTTTGGAATCTCGTTAAGTGAGAATAGCGAATACGCACAATAATCGAATCGAGGACACAATAAACTTGAAAAATTAGAGACTTGTACATTAGTTTTGAAATACATATTTTATGTCTAAGTATTCACGTATTAGTTATGATGCTATCGTTATAAGAATTTCTTGAAAAATCCACTTTATCGCGCACAAATCGGAATACGCGTTTTTGCGGGCACGAATAATTGAGAGACTTAAAACCTTTCTTTTGAACTATTAAGAATGAAAAATAATAGTATGAATGAAAGTTCATTAGAGGTTTAGTGCACAAGTGAAATAAACTCGAGAGAAATCGAGCATGAAACGTTCGTGTGCGGGGAGAGAGTTGACTTTTGAGGCGCAACCTTAACCATACACTTAAGCTTCCTCAAGAAGCTTTCTCATCAGCACACAACACTCTCTCTCTCTTGCTCTTGCTGGCCGAACAACAAGGAGGAGAAATCTACCAAAATTCTTCTTCATTCCATCACCAAATCTTCACCAAATCACCTCAAACATACATACATCACTTCAGATCACCTCAAGCTAGGAAAGAGCTTTATCTCACGGCTTTTTTAGCTTCAAGAGGCCAAAATTTTCTGCTTTGTTCATCAAGGAAGGTAAACAACAATCAACTACCAAAATCTTGGTTTACAGAAGATATATTGCACTTATAAGCTTATATTTCATATGGGTAGCTATATTTATGTTGGAAATTGGTGTGTGGCTCTATGAACTCCCACTATGGCTTGATGGACTGATTTCATGAGTCTTGA